TTTGTTTATTTTTAAACTGGTGAAGTTGTCTCCATAATACTTTCATAATTCTACACTCCTGTGTTGAACCTTTCTTGCAGGAGGCATTAAACGTCAACCGTCAGTACAGAGCTGTTTTTGTTTTCTTTACACATGTTTTTCTTTCAAACAGTGAATGAACGAATGAACGAATGTTGTAAAACAAGAGATGAACTTACTCTTGAGTTTATGATCTTGGAGCGCAGAGCAGAGTGGTCACATGAAGAAATGAGAGAGAGGACAGAATGAAGACATGAAAAACATGAGGTGACAGGATTGTGAGACGATGCTATGTGGGTAATAGACTGATGTGTGTGTCAGTGGGTCTAAAAATAATACAGCCTATTAAGTCTAAATGAGCATTCATTAATATGTTTTACCACAAGATGGCGACTCTGCAGGGCACTAACAGTGATTATCTGCTACTTTAATTTTGTAGAGCAGCAGTGAAAGCAAACAAATCTGTCCAGCCACGACAAAATTTTACTCTATTTTATTCCAAGATTTTTGCTCTTTTGGATTTGGCATCCATAGCTAACCAGCTGGGCCAGGGGTCGGCAACCTGTGGCTCCAGCGCCACATGTGGCCCTTTAGCTCCTCTCCAGTTGCTTTGATTAAAGAAAAATATATAGTAGAATACTAGGATTTCGACATAATTGTTTGCCTTCACAAACCAGTCAAGTTGCAGTTACAGTTTACATCCATGTCTGTCCAGACTCATAATGAAGCCATGACAGTTGATAATGTTTCAAACATGGATGTTGTTGCAAAGAAGCTGAATATTCTGAAATGGGGATGCTTCACACACATCTGTTACCCTGCAGCACAGAAGATCTATACAATCAGTATAGTCTTGAGGTGGACACCCAAGATTAGTGTCACAAATTCAGAATCTGTTCTGTCTCAGTCCGAGTTATTTTTTCAAACATTTCAATTTGTACAGTGTCGTGGGCCTGAAGAAATTCTGACATTCTCCAATTGTAACAATGTGAAACCTACAAAAACCCTGAGAAACATCCACCTGCAGAGCCACAAAGCCGCCATTTTAGACGTGCGCATTGGGCACGGGTATGTTTTAGATCATTGTTGTAAAAATGACGCAATTATGTTCAAATTTGTTTGTTCTGCAAAATTTCAACGAGGAGGTGTCAGGCAGTAGATTTATTATGCACATTTTAATTGCTGAAATGTTAAAATATATTTATACTAGTCCATACCCATTGAGTACAGCATACCATACCATGACTTAGTCATACCAAACATTAGAAAAAACCAACAACATTGGTCCACAGGGGGAGCCACAGCGATCGGTCGCATTTTAGCCATTTTGAAGCATTTTTCTGTTGTTATAGCGCCACCCAGTTGCCAATTAGAGTTAAATTTCTCCAGTCACCTTGAGGCGTCCTGTTCTACATATCTACCAAGTTTAGTAAAAATCCATATGGCGGTTAGGCCTAGATAAGAAATGAGCTCTCTAGCGCCCCCATTTTGTTTGAAGGGGTCAATAATGGAGGGGTCCCCTCAGATTATGTGTGGTCATATGCCTACAAAGTTGCGTGGTGATGGGTGAAACCCTTGAGATGTTATACACCTTTATGTGATGAGCCACGCCCTCCGCAATATTCATTGCCTTATAGAAGCTCAGTTTTAGTAAGTTTTCCAACTTTTGCCAAGAGGGAACTTTAGATATTGGTCCCTAGATTATGTTCACCCAGTTTCATGCAGATCGCTCAAACTTCCTAGGAAGAGATCCATTTGAAGTGTTTTTCAAAAAATTCAAAATAGCGGAAAATCTATATAAGCGGAAGTTATGGGTTCTTGAGGCAAATGTGTTCCTCATGAGGAGAGGCATCTCTGTGCAAAGTTTCATGTCTCTACGACATACGGGGCATGAGATATGCCCATTCAAAGTTTGACATTTCAATGGGTTGCTATAGCGCCCCCCTTTGGCCAATTGATGTAATATTGCTTCATTGGCATCCTCCCATGACCCTCTACCACTGTGCCAAATTTCACATGGATTGACCAAGTCAGTGAGGAGAAAAACGTGGAACACACACACACACACACTCACACAGAGTTTTCATCATTATATAGTCAGATATATTCATATATTTTCAGGGTCCAACCTGTTTTAGTCTTTGAGAACACATGAAATCAAACTTAATGTGGTGTGCACGTGCATCAACAGATATGGGTTTAAGTATTTTGTGTATATTTTGTTTGTGTACTTGTGTGTGTTCTCACTCGGCAGGTGTGTGAGCTCATTGAAGAACTTGTTCTTCATGCTGGAGAACTGGTGGTTGGAGTGGTGCGACGGTGGTGGTGGAGGTTCCCTCTCCCTCTCCCCCTCCTCCTCCGCCGCCCTGCGGAGCCGTCCCCCGGCCACGCTGACCAATCGCATCGCTGCTCTGCGAAATCAAAGAAGAGCAGACGACAAACAAAATCAATTTAAAGACATTTAAACCACCTTAAAACACTGAGGCTCCAGAGCAGCGACACATTTCCTCTCCTCAGATGTGTCCTTCGTTCAAACTTGATGCTGTTTGACCTTTCACCTGGTTTTAATCTCTTTAATCCTCTCACTCGCTTTGACCTCTCATCATTCATTCACTCTTCAGTCTCAAACACCTCACAGAGACGAAACTGTGTCCATCAATTACAAATGAGTTTGTTTCATTAAGGTTTTACTGAAGGAGAAGTAGAATCATGAGGTGAAAATCATCTGAGGAAAATACTAAGATCCTTTAGTTAAACCACAGAGTAAAAATACTCCATCAAATACGACTCTTTCATTTTAACAAATTTAACATTCATGCAGCATCTAAATCTCATCACTTGCTGACACAGTGGAGCTAATTTGTAAATGCAGCACAACTTCACAAGCTGGCTTATAAGCAAACTGTCTATCAAACAATCTTTCACTAGTCGGATAGCTTTTCAGCTAATGTTAACAGCCAGAGGAGCAGCGTTGGCAGATGGGAAATGTTGAAGTTTTGTACCAGAGGCTAAAAAATATTCATATTTTGAGGAAAATGATCGAACAGGAGTGCACATATACACATCTATTTTTTTTTTATCCAAAAATTGAGATGAAATGTAATTTTTTTTTCACGACAGTAGTTTCTCTAACACGACATATGACTACGAATCATAAGGAAATTATAATATTTCTTTTTTAAAAGATATTTCCTGGGGCTTATTGCCTTTATTTGATAGGACAGCTGTTGGAATCGAAGCCGCAGCCGCTGTGGTGAGGAGACAGCTTTTGTTCATGAGGTGCCAGCTCTACCAGATGAGCTAGTGGGCGCCCCACTTAATGATATTTCTGTTCTAAATAAACACAAAAATGACATTTTCAGCCTTTCTTCCTCTCCTTCATCCTTTCTCCAGTTGTCCTCCTCTTCCTATGTTCACCCCTGCTTCCCTTGTTGCCTCCTTCCTCCTCTCTTCCCTTTCCTTCCTCCCTGCTTCCCATCTGCAGCTCATTGCTTGCACATAATAATCTGGCTGACTTAATGACATTAAGGCTGGTGAGTGCACACACATACAGACATGCATGTACCCTCATCACTGGCCCTCGTAGACCACGTCCACAGAGGACATTTTGACTGCTCGTAGCAGGAGAGACACAGGTGACAGTGACAGTGAGCCAACATGAACAACACCAGGACCCTTAAAACTGAAGCAGCTAAATGGAATAAGGCCTCCAGTTATTTTATTAAGTTTATATTAAATATATAGTTTATTTTTTATAACGTTCAGATAGAGCGCTGAGTGTACCTCCAGCCAAATCCCTGCCTGTGGCCCCGGGCAGGAGAGGTAAAATAAAACAATATATATCAGTGTCTGCTCATCATGACAGTCTTATTAAAGAGTTCAGGCTGTCAGTGGCTGCACTCACACTGACATCTAAAAACACATACAGATGCCCCGCCCACAGTAGACGTCCCTCTGTCGCTGCGCAGCCATGTAACAAGATTAATTGCCAAAGGTAATCCAAAAATCCCTTGGCTTAAACAAATTAAGGACAGTTTGCCTCTCTGCGTCTCCACCCCTTCCTCCGCCCATCGTCTCTCGGTCACTCCTCCCTTGTGTCTGTTATCTATCCTCCCTGCTGACAGCTGGAGTTCAGACGCACACATACAGACGTACGTACACATCATATTTCTATAACGAGATGTGATTCAGGGGCCAGCTGTGTTACATTAACCCTTTAATCTCCCCAGACTGCAGAACAGAGGATTAGATAGATAGATAGATAGATAGATAGATAGGTAGATAGATAGGTGGATGGATGGATGGGCAGACGGATAGGTAGGTAGGTAGGTAGGTGGATGGATGGATTGTTGTGTGGGTGGGTGGATGGATGGATGGATGGATGGATGGATGGATGGATGGATGGATGGATTGTTGGGTGGATGGATGGATGGATGGATGGATGGATTGTTGTGTGGGTGGATGAATAGATAGGTAGGTAGGTGGATGGATGGATGGATGGATGGATTGTTGTGTGGGTGGATGAATAGATAGGTAGGTAGATGGATGGATGGATGGATGGATGGATGGAT